TGTTTCATTTTGGTCTCTAAAATTTTAAAATAAAAAAATTAATCTCCTAACCGATGCACTCGCTCATGGCTTTTTTTCTTTTTCTTTTTCCCATCAATTTATGTTCTTTTTTTTATTTAATTAAGTGTTAAAATTTTGAAAAATCAATTGTTGCTCTTTTTTCCATATAAACTGATAATTATATAACACTATCCATGTCTCTTTTTTTTTTTTCATCAATTTATGTTCTTTTTTTTCATTAGGTTTTAAAACTTTTAAAAATAAATCGTTACTTTTTTTTCCCATATAAACTAATAATTATATAATATATATGATATTTTTTATATTTATAAGATATCTTTTTAGATTTTAGAATAAATATAAAGTACTCTTATTGTTTAAAATTGATTTTTTTCTATAAAAATTCTCATCAAGTTAATTTTTATTCTTATTTTTTATAATTTTATTTATTAATAAATATGACTTATTTTATCTATATATGGATTCAAATAAGTTTTTTTTAATACCTATTTTTATTTTCTTATTTCTTATATAATCAACTTTTAAAAATTGAATATATGTATTTTATTTTCATATTTTTTACATAATAAAATTTTATCGAAATTGGTTTTATAGTTTTCTACACTCTATTAACTTCAATACATATTTTACCATTTAATTTTTTAAAATATTTTTTAATTTATTTTATACATTTTCACCTATTGAGTACGGTCATTATGTATTGAGAATAATAATGTTAGAGTCATTGATTTTATTAGAAATCAACTATACATCTATACATATAATACCAATTATTTGCTATTATTTTTTTAATATTTACAATAATTTTTTAAATAAAATAATTGAAATAATATTTTAGAATAACTGCATAATAATTCAAAAATAATTTTGTATACTAATATTATTCATTATTTTATAAATAAATAAATATAAATCAAATCTATATATTTAAAAAAATAATCTTCTCATCCGTAGAAAGTTTCATTCGTTAATTTTCATACAAGTTTTGATACTAGTTATTGTTTTGTTTCTTCGATGTAATGTAATGAAAAAAATAGTAAGATGTTTTTTTAAAATTTTATATTAAAATTTGTTTATTATGGGTTTTAATTAAGAATAAATGCATAAGAAAGAACAAATCATATTTTTTTGACTTCAAAATTTATCTTTTATACTTAATTTAATATATTTTAATTAACTAATAACATAATATATGTTATCAAACTGCAATAAATAAATTTAGTTTGGTCCATAACATTGCGCAAGAATAGAAACTATTCATATGTCTAAAATTTTTATTCACTTACTATTAATACGCATAAAATTACTATTCAATTGATGTCAATTTAAGTAATTTTTGGGAGTTTTTGGACATTAATAGGCAAATTTAACACTTTTTATTTATTTTTCATCCCTCATGTTGTAACATTTTTTTTAATCCTTATTTTTTATTTTTCTTTCGTTTTCACGTAGCATGTATGTGTGTGTGTGTGTGTGTGTGTGTGTGTGTGTGTGTGTGTGTGTGTAAACACTATCTTTTTATATTTTAAAATTAACATATACTTCAACTTATATTACTCTTATCATTTAAATTTCATTATTTGAATTTATCATTCTCTATGAAAATTCTCATCCAATTAATATTTTATATAAGATTTTATTTATTGATAAATATAATTTATTTTTCTCTATATTTGAATTATAGAATAAAATTTTAAAGCATGATTGTTTTTTCTTTTTTAAAAAGTAAATTGATATAATGTATATCATGAATTCTTAGAATTTCTAAATGACGAGTTGCACGATTATAAATATATAATTATTTTATTCTAAAAGGTTAAAAATGTGTTTCAAATAATTTATCCGAGTTCACTAGGTATGGTCAAGACCTATAAAAAAAAATATTGAATCGTTAATTTTATTAAAAAATAGATATACATCTTCTAACATAAAATAAATTATTTATTAAGAATATATTTTTTTTAACATTATAGAATCAATTTATTTGAAATAAAATAATTAAAATAGTTTTTTAAGGGAACCAACCAATTATTCAAATATATTTTTGTATGCTAATTTTTTTGATTTTTTTTTTTTGAGAACGAGGGCGGTACCTTGGAGTATCATAAATGAAACGGGAAAAGGATACAAGAGGGACAAAACCAGCCTAACCCATTAAAATGGGGAGACTAGGTAGCCTAAAACCCGAAAAAAAAAAAAAAAAACGAGGCATCCCTTAAGCCTTAAGAAACTAAAACGCATAATGTCTGTATTGGAAAGAATGAAAAGATAAACAATTATAAAAAAATTATCTCCTAAATATCGCTAGGCCATAAAAGTCTTCCTTTAGTGGTGCTCGAACCGAAGACGGGAGTCTATCTAGAGAATGGTAAGTAACTTTGTTTCCATGAGTGTGAGCATGATCTGCTAGCCTATCTGCAGTGTAGTTGCCTTCCCCGTATATATGTGTAATTGAAATATCCTCCATCATTTCTTTACATTTGCGCATCAAGTATGTCAATGGCCGAGGCACTCGTAGATAGTCCCTTAATAGCGTCAATCACCAATTTAGAGTCCAACTCCACATAATGAATGACTATATTATGTCCCTTGCATAATTCCGGACCTTCAAATAAAGCACTAACCTCTCCTTTATTATTTGCACCCTCCTCATAGTGAGAGGAAAATGCAATAACAAACTTTCCATTTCCATCCCTCACCACTCCCCCCAGTCATGATTCCTTCTCTTTCGGATCCATCACAATTTAACTTGAGCTTTTGCGAGTGGTGGAGACCATGCAATCCATTTTCCTTGGGGCACCTTTGAAGGTAGAAGAGGAATTTGTAAAGCTTGAAAGCAAAAGGTGTCATGAAAGCCGAGTTTCCTTAGGAATGAACAAAGGTTGGATATCAGCTAGCCATCTCTTGATCTTAAAGATTATCATTGTAGCAACCATTTTTTCCCCATCAAAAAAGGCTTTATTCTGTGCCTTCCATATTTCCCAAAGCGTGCAATGGAGAGTCACCATTCTCCAAAAAATTTTCTGATTGGTGGGAGCTCCACGAGTGTAGCCATTTTCGAACTAAAACACCCACCAAGCTTTCTATGTGGGAACATTAAGGAGCGGGCTGAAGTGTCTCCAGATTGTTGCAGCTATCTCCCCTGAAGGAAGAGATGATTCGATTGATTATTTTGTAAACAATTATACATAGATCTAATGCATACACTTGAAAAAAAAAAAAATCTTCTCACTAACATTAAATAAGAATAAATTTTTATTTTTTCATTGACTAATTTTTATGCAAGTCTATATGTTAATTGTAACTTTATTTTTTAATACATTCTTATAAAAAAATGTAGTTTTAAAGTATTTGCTTTTGAATTCTTCATTAATATTTTAGATTTAAATTATTACACATTTTTATTTAAGAATTCATAAATAAAGAAGAATAAATCATGTTTGTTAAGCAAAAATCTATGAATAACACACAAAAAATATAATAATTAAATAAAAAATCATAAAAAAGTATAAATTTTTAAATGATTTTGTTCTATCTACCCGTAGCATTGTATGGATAATTTTAAAAATTAATCTTCGCATTAGTATTAAATAAGAATTTTTTTTTCATTTATTCATTTTTGTAAAAGTCTTTCGATTAATTATAATTTTATTTTTTAGAATACAATACTATGAAAAATATATTTTTATATATATACTTTTTAATTCTTGATTAATATTTTAGTTAAAATTATTATATTTTTTTACTCAAAGTTCAATTCATAAAGAAAAATGATATATATTTTTTTAGGAAAAAATTTATAAAAAAAAACATTAAAAAATTAATTAAATAGAAAATTATAATTAAAAAAATTTAAAATTTTAAAATGATTTTTTTTCTACAAGCATAGCGCGGGTAATCGGCTAGTTTATACTCTATTTCAACAAGATCTCAAAAGATATTTTGCCTTAATTTTGGTAATAAAAATTTTAGCGTAAATTTGGGTGGAAATTTTAGAAAAGTTTAATGATCTCTAGATGTTTTTTAAAAAAATTTAAACTCAAATTTGGTAGGGATGAAAATTTTAATTTATCACATTAATTTTGGACCTTTACTTTAAAAAAGAGGAAATTTTTAATTTACTACATTAATTTTTGGCTTAAAATCTTGTAGTGACTGTCAAAATTTTGAGAATATTTTATAATGCATGATTAAATGAGATAGATTTTTTTCTTTAAATGAAAAAAAAAATTTTAGAGAAGTATGGTGAAAAAAATATTGTTATGATATTATAATTATTAAGTTTTTTGTTATGATGCTTCCCCATCAATTGTTTGATTCTATCAATATGAATGTGCTATTGAATATGAAGAGATGCACATTTTAAAGTGGAAAATTTAAAGATATGTAATAATTCCATTGAATTGATTCGTAATCTTATACAGAAATTGATTTATGTGATTTGCATAAAAAAAGAAAAAAATCATCTTTATTTAAGCAACAAAAACCACACCAAAAACATTAATTAAGGGCATCTTTTAGCAGAAAAGTAATTTAAAATTTCTCTGGACCATAAATGGGTTTCTCCTAGAAAGGTTGGAGGTATTTCCTCCCTGTATGTGCTGTGAAATTATTGTGTCCAAAAAGGAATGCCAGACATATATCTAATAGTGGAAAGTACAAAAACTGAATAATTGAATGTCTTTTTTTATTATCAATAATGATACAGTAAAAGCCACGCTACAAAACTAAATTATCGTATTGTTCTGAAAGTCTACGACCGTATATTACCAATTATCCCTTTTAGATCTATAAATGGTCTGGAATTCAAATATCTTATATGTATATATAAGAAATACTTGGACCAACTCAAGTGAAAAATCAGCATAGCATGGCAAAAATATATAATTTATGGCACTGAACAATTTATTTGATAACAGGGCGTCGACAATTGAGGGATTGGTATAATCACAACATCAAAATCACAATTTGTGTGATAGCTAGCAAAGTAAAATAACCCTAAGTTTTCCATCATCACATATCCTTTTGATTTAATGGATTTTTCTTTTATTGACAAGGATTTGTGAAAATGAGAGAGAGAGAGAGGGTACCTGAGTGGTTGAGGAAGCTTGGGGAATAAATGAGGTTTCCTCTCATGAGTTGGAAGAGTGACCATGTAGAATATGTCTCCCCAATCAAGCTTCTGCTCCTCAGACACAACAAAAGCTTGTCCAAATCCCTCCATTTCTCCTGCTGTTTGCCAATACTTCCTTTTCTCTTCCATTGGGAGGTCGAAAAACTCTGGAATCTCCCCCTTCACTTTGTTAACCAATGAATCATTCACTCCATGATTTATCAACTGAAACACATGCAATTCGATCCATATTTTTGGTTAATCAAGGAGTATTTATTTATTTATATAAAACAATATATACCTTAATGGTTTTGGATTGTAGTTAAGAAATTAAAGACAGAAACAAATATAAATAAAATGACCTGGAAGAAACCCCATTCTTTGCACGCATGGTCCAACTTATCCAGCTCTAGATCCATGAATTGTTCAGAAATCAATCTTTGCATGTCAATAACTGGAATCTGGGGTGAAGAAGCTGCAGCAATGTCGCTTATGATCGGAGGGTCACGCGAATATCTTGTTGGGACTGTGGTTAGTGACTCCTTTGCCAGCTCCTGAACACAGGGAACTGGGAGAGACGTCCCAAGCGTTGCTGCTTCCATAGCTTCTCTCTTGTTTTTTCCTTCTTTTTGCTTGTTGCCTCGCGAGGAATGAAGTGATGTATGTATAAATGAGTAAATTATAAATTATTTTTTTTTATTTTGAGAAACAAGTTAATTAATTCTTTTAGTTTTAAAACCCCAATCATTTAATTATTTTTATTATCTTTTAATTTATTTTGATTTTTTTAAGAAATAGAAAAAAATTATAAAAAAATTAAAAAAAAAGAATACGTTTTATAAAATAAAAAATATTAATATAATAATATTAAAAAAATTAAATAATTATCTTAAAACTAAAAAAATTAATTAATTCGTTTCTCGAAAAACAGAGAGACTATTTTATAATTTAGTCACGTATAAAGGGAAGCATAAGTTGACGAAGCTCATTTTATTGATTAAGCCAACTGATGTGTGATGCAATTTGTTAATTAATTATTTATAACAACTATCCACAGCTGGCAATTTCGAAGGAATTAAGCAGAAAGTTATATATCCAAGTGGTTGCGTCATTGTTGACACATGGCTAGCTAGATAGCTATACATTATTTCATTTGTTTCAAAAAAATTGTTTTCTTTCTTTTAAAAGAATTTATACATGTACCAACATACTTCTCTCGTCAAAACTTTTTATATATATATATATATCCTTAATTGATAACTAAAATCAATTATTTCTTATATTTACTGTTTTTAACTAACAAAAAATCAACATTCTTTATATTTTTTATACATATAAATACTTTTAACATAAAAATTTTAAAGAATTTTTTTATTATATATAAAAAATATTCATTCTTCTATAAAATACATGCCCATCTTGAAAAACACCAGATCTCATTTAAAAGAAATTGAAAATACGCTCTAATTTTGTTTGCTCAAATAAAATTTTTTATGTTTATTCCCCCAGAAATTCTTCATCACCTTAACCATACATGATTGTAATATTAGAAACACCTTGTTAAGTTCACCTTATGGAAATTCATAAAAAGCTTTTTTTTCCATTTCTGATACTAATTCATCAACTGTGAAAGGGACTTGTTGATGCTGATTTGATTGAATTGCTATGAAGAAACCAGGATTAAGTACATTAAGAAAAAAAAACTAAAAGATTTGGAATTATTATTGTTTTAGGGCTATTCATTTCCTTTTGCTTTAGACACATAATGCCTATTTATTGTGACTCAAATGCATGGTTTGAGTCATCTTCTTGGATCTCAGCCATCCATGAGATATGTGCTTTTCTTGCAGCCGTCCAATTAACAATTTGATGCTTTTTAATCTTTTCTTTTCTCTTAAAATGGGGTTGTTAGCTTAGTTTCTGTCCTTTAACTTTTACGTAATTCCTCTTGTGCCACTACAAAAGAAATTAAATTTTTTTTTGTTTCATTGTTGATTTTGGTCATTATCACTTAGTATATTTATAAAAATTGATACTTGTCCTTGATTGATTCTCCTTTTAATTTTTTTTCTTTAATCTTTTTTTGTCCTTTACTTTTCTTTATATATAAAACATTTGATGCTCTGTCTTCCATTGCCTTTTCCCTCATTTTTTTGAGGAGTAGCTTGGTGTTCAAGAGTAAATTATAAATTAGTCCCTCTCTTTTTGAGAATGAATTAATTAGTTCATCTGGTTCAAAAAATAATTTGTTTTGTCTTTTTTGTTATTTTTCAATTAATTTTTTATTTTAGGAAACAAAAAATAATTAAAAATAAGTGAAAATATAAAAATATTGATGAGAATAAAAAATATTTTATATAAAAAAATTAGTTGTGGTCAACTATGGTTGAAATGATTAAGTAATTAATTTTTAAACTAAAAGGACTAATTAATTCATATTTCACAATGAGATGGACTAACTTATAATTGACTTTGCAATTTAAGGATTCCTTTCACCATTCTTTATAAGGTATTTTTTCTTTTTAATAAATATAGTGCTATACATCATTACGCTAAAAATTCTAATAAATGACTAATGAAAACTTGATGTGCTATTTCAAGGTTATGTTGACATGGATATTTCTTGAAAGTAGCAACCACGATAAATTCACAAATTATACAATACCTAAAAGAAAAGGCAACCATGTATTTATTTATATATTTGCTTTTTTTCCAATAATTTAATTATTTTTTAATTATGGATTTTGAGGTAAGATTTATGGAAGATTGAACTTTATTTTTCATGTTTCCTATACGAACTTCACGGTGATGAAATATATATGATTTTTAAACAAGATTAACGTAATTGCATATATATAAAGCTAAAAATGTCTTTTAGATAATTTGACTCAATTGTTTTTAATATTTAAATAATCAATTAAGAAAATAGAATTCAAGGGTTTTATTTGTTTATATATATATATATATAGATCTTGTTACAAAGCTAGGGTGCACTAGGTGAGGCTAGGTAGATGTGGCGGTAATTCTTCAAAAACATAAAGATAAAAATTTTAAGTATATTCATATTAGTTTAGTTCAAGTGGGAATTAAATCACTTACAAAAGAAGGATTGAATACCTCAATCTCGACAGATCCTTAGAGACAATAGGTTTACCAATTTTCAAGACTCTCTCGCTTAGTTCAATTGAGTCTAGTTTATGCGAGTAGACCTATCTCTTTTGATTGTTATCCAAATTTTACCGTTTCTTTGAATGACAAAAACATTCGGAGTCTTTAGTGCTTCAAATCAAAACCCATAATTATCATATGATGGATAGATCTATTCTAGTTGCATTAATTACAAAAATTCATTACAAGGCTATGAATTCCGCATTTGCATCCAAACACAAAAGGCGATCGACCAAAGGTGAAACCCTTCTTACGCAAACGTACACTTCGCCCATTGAAATGATTGTCAAAAGAATTATTCCACTACCAAATTTGACATGAAGTTCGATTTACGGCAAATCCGGATAACCCCAAACGACCGATACAAAATTGCCTTTACGAGTTCCATTTTATGTTCTTTAATACGGGTCCTAATCTTTTCACCTAAAAGGGTTGGAAGACCCGCAAGAAATTTCTCATTCCGGAAAGGTTGATTTGAATCTTTTCTAAGCATAACTGCGGTCGGGAAAGTGGTTTTGTAATACTGAAAATCACTAAGTTTCTTACACCTAAGGTTACTAAGAAGCTCGGCGTTTTTGTCTTTGAGGTGAGAAAGATCTCCTATGAAATGAAGGGAAAAAGTCAAGATGAGTGTTGACACTTGCATCTTGAATTGGTTCACCTAAGTCATCTAAAATAAGAAGACCTTCTTGGTATGTTTAGATGGAATTTAATATTTTCATATGCTTGTTGGGTAGTGAGATGATAGTCCTACCATCCTTTGAGTTGACCGGAAAAATCGACAATGAGCAACTCGGCTATCGCACGGTCGGGGGTGCCGGTTTGGGTTTTATAGGCGTTAGCGACTATGGTCATTTGCTTGGAGTAAGCTAAGGGTATTATACTTCGACAATTCATCTATGGTCCATTCATAAATGGAAGAAGCATTAAACCTAGGTTGTGCTAACTTATTTGGCATCTCACCTATGTCGTGGGCGGTGATCACGGGTAATGGGTTTGGCCAATGAAACTTATTAATTTTAGGGACGATTCTGTCTCCGAATTTTGATCCAAAACATTCATGCTATTTGATTGGGGAGTCTCGGGAGCTATCTCGCTTAGAGGTACTTTCGGAAGATATTCCTATCTTGCTAAGTTGGTCTCTAATAGCTCTAGAAAACTCGAGCTTGTTGGTTTGGATTTCGTTGTTGGCTAGTCTTAGAAACTCGAAAGGGTTTGAACACTAGGTTCTTGAGCTTTTGCTCATTGGTTTCTATTTTAGCTATGGAAACGACTAGTTTTGGAGTAGGAGGAACAATTGTCTGCTTGGATATGAGATTCTATCCTAACAAGTTGTTTTCCTATGGTTTGAAGATTGGTATTGGTAAAATTGTTCTATTGAACAATATTTTTGATGTTGACAAAGTCATCATCTTTGAGAATTTTGTATAGACAAGCTTCTATTTTGGTTTCTCCATAAGAGAATGTCAATTTCTTAGGTGAAGGATGGTCGATCGAATCATCCGTCCTTCCACTTACCATGTAGGGGTTTTGTTCCTAACGATCACTCGGTTTCACAGATTTAAAAGGATAGGAAATATCATTTGCGAAGCATATATCTCAAACCAATCAAAGAACAAAATATGAACTTTATTAACATTCACAAATTCATAAAATTCATTTTGAATATCCTTCCTATTAGCCGAAAGTTTTTGAAGAACCAAATTCGTTTTTCGAATTGGTTTTTGCATAGAAGTCATCATGCGGATATTATTTGTCTACGAGTAAAACTATCATCGGACAAAGCAATACATTCATGTGCAATATTATCGGTGATAACGGATGCAATAGGAGATAAAGGAGGAGAATCCTTTTGGTTTGAATATCCGGGTTTTGGAATACTAGAATAGTAATCAACGTTTTGAAGAAAGGGGTTAGGGACATCCGAGGTTGAAAACCTATGTGGTTGTCTTAGAGATGACGGACTTTGGTCTAAGTCGGTATCTCTCCTAACATTTGGTAAGTTTATAGCTGAAGGAATCTCGGAAAATCTTCCTAAGTCATAAGTCATTGAACTAGAGGCAACATCGGAAAATCTACCACTCGGTAAACTTTCTCGTCAAATGAGAGTCTAACAATCCCATCCATATGTTGGGCTATAGATCTAATTTGTGTGTTTGGTTTTGGGACCTCGGGCATTAATAGAGATCCGGGTTTTGTAATTTCTTCCAAGATCCATTCATCTAGTAGTACTATGTCTTTCCACCTAATAGGTTTGAGAATAATAGTATTGGATTTGGTCGGATCTATTTGCGAAGAAGGGTTTCACCTTTGGTCGATCGCTTTTTGTGTTTGGATGCAAAGGTAGAATTCATAGCCTTATAATGAATTTTTGTAATTAATGCAATTGGAATAGATCCATCCATCATATGATAATTATGGGTTTTGATTTGAA